GTTTTTGAGTTTTCCTACTAATGCATGAATTCATCGCTTGAAAAACTCTTAAGGATTAAAGTGATATTTATTCTGAGACAAGGAATGTTTAGATAGCAAAATCTCCCAAAATTGGTAATGTTTTTAACCCACATAAGAGCCTTCCCGGCCGCCAGCTAAATGCTGCGTCATGCAAAAACCTGGAAATTCGAACGTCCTCTATCGCAAAAGGAAGAACCCTTTCGAACCAAAACTTTGTTTAAATAAAGGCATTTAGGTGCTGTAATACCTCATGAAACTCAGAAACTCAGAAGAATTGTTAGTTTCTTAGTTTGAATTTTGGTGACGTCATGTGAAAGCCGAGAATTAAAGGGTGAAGCTTAATTTTTCTTGACACCTCTAGTGAATCATTATGTGACAAAGCAGTATTGCGTGACTCTAACTGGTGCTTTTGTTTTATATGGGTTGCTGTGATTAATCTAAAAGAAGTTCCTGGTCTCTTTTCTCACAACTTAAATCGTAGCTAATTGCTTTCCTTTAAAAAGAATTACATGTCTGTTTTGGTAGTGATTTGATAAATAACAAAAGTATCCATAATAGTTGTCAGTTAGCAAGTGGGTGACCTGTGATCAGGGCTTGAAATAACGGCCGGTCAACGGACAATGTCCGGTCAGAATCGAGCATTGTCCGAGCGAATCCGTGGATGACCGGACATGTTGTCCGGTCATTTGGGCTTTCAAAGAAAATTCAATTTTGAGACAATCATGATGGAAATTTATTCAATCTTATCATGTTCCCAAAAAAGATATTAACTAGAGGGACTTTTGTTTGTGAAATTGATGACATTTCCTGTTGTCAGTCGCGACCGCAAATTGGCTACTGCTGTGCGTGTTGTAAAGTGCTCAAGATTGCACGCCCCGCTGCGCCGAAAATAACCCGCATAGCATCTGGTGCCAACAAGAGCGAAAAAAAGAAAGACCCAGAGTGACAGTATAATGAATTAGGCCACCCTCTTGCTCCAATAAAACTTCACAAATGTAACATTAAAATAAAAGGCTTTGAGTGTTAATGAAGTAAACATAAAAATAGAGTTTGTCTTTATTTCGCCCTGTCCGTAAATTTGTTGCGTGTTTATCACTAAACGACTAATTCACAAGGTTAACTCAACATTCATCACCCTGTTCTCTTTGAAATACATTATGTATAAGTTTTAACGCATTGAAATGCCAATGAATGCCCACTACCACGATTTTTTGTGCGAATGGCGATGTTACTTCGGCCAGCAGGTCGCGCCGAAGGATACGATTATTTTCATTGCGCAACGTCACGATCGACGATGCTGAAAAATTAAAAAGAACAAATCAGTACGTCACTTCCGGCACACCCTGGCCTGCACACGAGCTTGGTTACTAAGCTTTTGTTGTTTGCAAAGTGAACTAGGCACGAAGGCTTTAAACAGAATGAATATGTCGGATTTCCAGTGTTCGAATGCAATTTTACACACATAGACGCTACGCATTCAACAAATCACTCTGAAGTCTAGATTTGCATTCAACCGAACGGTAGAGTAAACTTGTAAGTCAGGATTATATTACATAGTTGTATATTAATTTACATTCCGTTTAATAGCGTTTATTATCGTGTTAATTGAGAGATTGATTTATTGAACCAAACGATTTCACAAGTTTATTTGCCCGTTTGAAATTATTTGTAGAAACAAAGCAGCATTTGCTAAAATGTAAATGTTGTACTATAAAGTTGAAGGTTACGTTTTGTTAGTGATTTGGTCAGGTTTCAACCAAACGTTAACGATGAGCTTGTGTCTTGCAATCCACGTGTCTGACTTACAATGTAACAGAACAAAGAGTAATAAAACTACAACTTCTAATTTTTTGCACACTCGATTTGTTTTGAGTAACTAGAGTTGCTGTTGCTGAAAATGATACAGATCATGTAACTTGCAAAATGGAGCCTCTATTGCAACTAGTTAAGATGGATTAAATTTGTCCGGCCAAAAGTGCCTATGTCCGAGCAAAATCACGTTTGACCGGACAATGTGTCCGGCGCCTGCCCAAAAGTTATTTCAAGCCCTGCAATAGGAACAATCGGGGTATCATTTACGGAAGAAGCACTCTTTTTGTCCTTGATGAATTTTTTTTGTATAAAAAAGACACTCCTCTTTCCTCACTAAGTAATTTTTTAAGCAAGCTCTTCAAACTGAATGCCACAAAACACTCGCTGGAAGTCAAGCCCACTGCATGAAAAATTTTATTTTGGGTTGGTAAACACATTACAACTGGGCTGACAAATGTTGTCACCCTTTTATCAAAATCCGTTGAATTTGTGGACGACGCGGGATTTCTTTATTTATTAGGCTAAAACATTTTTGCATAATCATAAACTTCGAGGAGGGCTTTCCTGAAAAGTCAGTAGATTGACGCATAAGTCGTGGTTTATATTACTTTGTGGGGCAACACCTATTTGGGTCTGAAATTCGGGCGGAGTAACATGTTTACCATGTTAGATTTTTTAAAAAAACAGCGTCCCTTTTAAAAGTAAAAAGAAAATGAGAAATCTGCAGAAAAATATATTCAAAGACAAACAGAAACATTAATAAGGTTTTGCTGACATGTCTAGGAAGGGATCATTAAATGACTCATCGTTTTTCTCAAGAAGGGAAGGTTACAAGGTTTAGACAAAATATTTACAAGCTGTAAACATCTTACGTGTAATGCCTTCCGAAAGAGGATTTTGCTGTATGCAGACACAACATACACAATTACCACACCAAAATATTTGCTCTTGAATATTGGTTGTTGAAACTGTGCATTGTAGTCAAGTTTTCAAGCGTTTTGAGCCGATACTTTTTTGTGTTAATATTTTGCAATAAAAAAGACTTGCATTGTCTTTTTTGGTAGATCTTTATCGAAGAAAAGAAAGTTCGCATTTAGTTTATAATTCTGATTGTTTTTCAGAGGTGTCTAATTGAAGATTGGAAACAATTTTTCCTTTACAGTATGCCTTCTAAAACAAAACCCTATCAGCATTGTCGTTTAAACTTAACGTAGGCGTTCCAATTGCTTGACAGGCAATTTTAGAAGTGTACTTTAATAAAAGTGCAGCAAAATTTCCTTACCGGAGCCTCGGTTGATAAGGTAGCGCGAATTTTAATGACTCCCGGCAGCAAAAATCACAGGAAGACAACGCTGCACCACGGCAAAGAAGGGTCAATTTTTCAGCTTGCCCAAGTGACACATAGTTTATAGTTACTGTTTGTGATTTCACTCGATGCACNAGAGGATTTTGCTGTATGCAGACACAACATACACAAATACCACACCAAAATATTTGCTCTTGAATATTGGTTGTTGAAACTGTGCATTGTAGTCAAGTTTTCAAGCGTTTTGAGCCGATACTTTTTTGTGTTAATATTTTGCAATAAAAAAGACTTGCATTGTCTTTTTTGGTAGATCTTTATCGAAGAAAAGAAAGTTCGCATTTAGTTTATAATTCTGATTGTTTTTCAGAGGTGTCTAATTGAAGATTGGAAACAATTTTTCCTTTACAGTATGCCTTCTAAAACAAAACCCTATCAGCATTGTCGTTTAAACTTAACGTAGGCGTTCCAATTGCTTGACAGGCAATTTTAGAAGTGTACTTTAATAAAAGTGCAGCAAAATTTCCTTACCGGAGCCTCGGTTGATAAGGTAGCGCGAATTTTAATGACTCCCGGCAGCAAAAATCACAGGAAGACAACGCTGCACCACGGCAAAGAAGGGTCAATTTTTCAGCTTGCCCAAGTGACACATAGTTTATAGTTACTGTTTGTGATTTCACTCGATGCACCCCAAAACGATCTCAAACAAGTCAGAAAAATAAACTTATAAATGTTGAATTCTTTTGACTTAAAACTGCCGCGGTTTGGTTTGCTGTTAGTAGGTTTAATCTACTGTAGACTATGAGGCTTAGTAAAGTAAAACAATCTCGGAATAATGAATTGTCAGTCTTAGAAAGGGAAACATTTGGAGAAGAACGGCGTTTATTAATGATCCGAACAATGTCTCAGCTGTGGTACAAAATGAACTCGTATTTTACGTTGTTGTAATCTATTTCCGCTACCGAATTCGAGGATTAACACTAAACATTGGATACTACTCTGTATACATGCATGTACGCACTTGTGGACAACTATTGTCAAAGGACCAAACCTAAATGAAGTCTTTTCTGGCTTTAATTTGTTCTTGTATAAACTGATCTTCCCAAGAGGTGAATTGCACAAACTATGTCTCTAAGCTAATCAGATGCAGTGATTTGGACATGCAGAAGCTCCTAGCAACGAAATAGTCGCCTGATCTTTTCGCAGGCCATGTTGGAATTTTTAACGCCATAAAAAAATAAGGTGGAAATTTGACTAGATCTCCCTGAGTTAGCTCCAAACATTTATTCCTGAAAACGAGAGTTAAAAGAGTAAATTAAGGCTAATCTACTCCTTTTCTGTTTTATGACTGTGTACTTTTTCACATCAAGAGAAATCAGTCGAAATCTAAAGCTTTCAGATTCTTTATTAACTTCCTGTTTCACCTTTAATTCTGGTTACAGTCGTCAACAAATAAGAAAGCGTCATTACGTAAATACTCTGCCACGACTACTGCAGTGTACAACATACTAATGTACCTACCACGGTTACTTTTAGAACACATCGATCAGTCCTAGTAACTAATAAACACAACCTTTTTAAAATAAAAGTGACTACTAAGATATTCGATCTAGCTGGCTTCTCAGTCAAGAGTGTTGCTTGAGTAAACAAAACAAACTGTTCATTATAACATAGAACTTAAATCAAAAAAATTATCAGCGGAATATTCGATTTAAGATAAACTAAGATGGCACTTAAATTAAAAAAATATGAATGAAATCATGATTTAAAAAAAAGTCTAAGTTGGCAAATATTTAACTGAATCTGGCGAACTAATATAAGGCAGGTCTTACTGAAACCACTATCCTAATGGTAGTCAACAGGATCATAGTTCGTTCCTTGTTTTAGCTCTTTCTTGCTTTTGTTCAGGTGACTGGATGGAAGCAAGGTAAAGCGCGTATTTGCTGGACTGAGACCATATGGTTTTCCTATCGGAGTTTTTAGTTTTGCATTCGCAGGAAGAGCCCCAATGTTTCCAGTCGCATCCTTGCCAACCCCAGTCGCTGCCGTCGTAAGGAGCAGCCTGCCATCGCCTTTTCCCTGTATCGCTGGTGCCGGACAATGAATAGTGGATGCAGGTTTTACCGGCACAGTTACACCAGACACCAACGTGATAGTGGCAATCATCGTCATCATGGCATCCAGAAGGAGCAATAGTGCAGGAATACTCTGGGTATTCTGGTGTAGCTTGGCCAGTCAAGTCAAACTTCTGTAATTCTATTTTGTGTTGTTTTCTATATGGGCAGCCAAAGTTCAAAAACCCATTGTAGAAATATTCCAGATTAACGGCTTTTACGAGATCGGGTGTTCCTACGGTTTTCTCCTGCAAGTATTCCCAGATAGGCACAAGGGTATACTCTATGATGGCAGGCTGAGTTTCGCCTTCTCGCATAAACTGTTCTATGAGCTCGGCCGAACGACTGTGGAGTAGCTGGGTGCGCGTTCCTACTGTTCCCCCTGTTACAGTAAGAGAACTGCTCATTTTCATGCGTCTGACATTTGCAGTTTCCTCTTGAGTGATATTTGAACATGCTGAAATATTCATTTTCTTTGGATCTAAGGACTCGGCCAGGGATAGACAGCTTTTGACCGTGAAGTCTCGTTCAGTGTACTTTTGTGTTTTTTCGGCAAAAGAGTAACTGATGATACTGGATCCTTGAGTCACGCCAGTGATGATATGGCTGCCCCACTCTTTGAGGAAAATCAGGTATTCTTGCCATGATGAGGCCAACCATGGTTTGCTGATGCTGGAATTTAGCCTCTGGAAATCGTCCATAAACTGTGGTGATGGAGTTCTTTGCAGCATACAGTCTTTCGACAGCAGCAGAATGTAGGCCTTTTCGGTCAGTTGCAGCGACGAACCCGATGCATCTCTTTTTTCGCCGCTGATACTTTTCGTTGTGACATCCAAGGTAAATCCAAAGCTAAAGTCTGTTTCGAAATTAGCTTGCAGTCCACTGGTGGTTGCAATAGTGCTGTATAGCGTCTCTGTGTCTTTGTAATAGTCTGTGTTTCTAACAGACTTGTGCAGTGACTGATTCTGAATGCAACGCCCTTGGAGAGAGGAAAACAGCTGGATGCCGTTGGGTACAGATCCTAGTAAATTTGTACCTGGGACATATATAGCTTGCCCAAGAGCATAGGTATCATTGTCAGCATCCAGAGAGCTGCTCCCGCCCAAAGCCAAAGAGACAAGGAATAGCACAACGTCGAACATTGTGTCGCATGAATTAGAGGGTACTCAACTTACCAGCAACTGAGAAACCTTATATATGCAACACCAGATTTTCAAAAGTCTAAAGTACAAGGTATTTTTTTGACGTCAATTACACGTGTCCAACCACCCGCAGTGTGGTGCAAGAAACAGATTTGCGTCAAAAATATCTGTGGAATGTTCATTGTGAGAAACCACAGACAAACCACGGTTTCCTTCTGTCATGAAACATTTAGGGCTCTCGGTTTCTCTTAGGCCCGGTTCAGACGCCAAAGTTTTCATGAGCCAAATTAAAGTCACAGAGATATTAGTAGACCATTTCGCCACTATTGCCGATGGCATTGGAGAAACAGATGCGGAACTGTGGAACTTGAAAGACTTTATGATCGTCCAAGTGTGCAGTCAACAGGCTCCCGAAAATTCTAGGTGACCTTTTTAGGGTAAAAATCCGTTGAAAATGGGCAATTATACCATTTTTAGATGTTCGAAATTCCTATAGGAGAGGCAGGCAAGCAGGAAATTTTTCAAAAAATGTTCCGAAAATTCTAGATCTCAAATCGTCTTCTGAACAGAAATTTTCCGAAAATTGTCGTTGGGTGCCCCTGATTTATCTGTGATTACGAAACGCGACAGAGTTTTCTTTTACGGTCACGGGAACTTTTGTGCGGATTTAACGATTTCCGACAATACACACAATTAAAACTGCCGCGGTTTGGTTTGCTGTTACAGGGCTTGAAATAACGGCCGGTCAACGGACAATGTCCGGTCAGAATCGAGCATTGTCCGAGCGAATCCGTGGATGACCGGACATGTTGTCCGGTCATTTGGGCTTTCAAAGAAAATTCAATTTTGAGACAATCATGATGGAAATTTATTCAATCTTATCATGTTCCCAAAAAAGATATTAACTAGAGGGACTTTTGTTTGTGAAATTGATGACATTTCCTGTTGTCAGTCGCGACCGCAAATTGGCTACTGCTGTGCGTGTTGTAAAGTGCTCAAGATTGCACGCCCCGCTGCGCCGAAAATAACCCGCATAGCATCTGGTGCCAACAAGAGCGAAAAAAAGAAAGACCCAGAGTGACAGTATAATGAATTAGGCCACCCTCTTGCTCCAATAAAACTTCACAAATGTAACATTAAAATAAAAGGCTTTGAGTGTTAATGAAGTAAACATAAAAATAGAGTTTGTCTTTATTTCGCCCTGTCCGTAAATTTGTTGCGTGTTTATCACTAAACGACTAATTCACAAGGTTAACTCAACATTCATCACCCTGTTCTCTTTGAAATACATTATGTATAAGTTTTAACGCATTGAAATGCCAATGAATGCCCACTACCACGATTTTTTGTGCGAATGGCGATGTTACTTCGGCCAGCAGGTCGCGCCGAAGGATACGATTATTTTCATTGCGCAACGTCACGATCGACGATGCTGAAAAATTAAAAAGAACAAATCAGTACGTCACTTCCGGCACACCCTGGCCTGCACACGAGCTTGGTTACTAAGCTTTTGTTGTTTGCAAAGTGAACTAGGCACGAAGGCTTTAAACAGAATGAATATGTCGGATTTCCAGTGTTCGAATGCAATTTTACACACATAGACGCTACGCATTCAACAAATCACTCTGAAGTCTAGATTTGCATTCAACCGAACGGTAGAGTAAACTTGTAAGTCAGGATTATATTACATAGTTGTATATTAATTTACATTCCGTTTAATAGCGTTTATTATCGTGTTAATTGAGAGATTGATTTATTGAACCAAACGATTTCACAAGTTTATTTGCCCGTTTGAAATTATTTGTAGAAACAAAGCAGCATTTGCTAAAATGTAAATGTTGTACTATAAAGTTGAAGGTTACGTTTTGTTAGTGATTTGGTCAGGTTTCAACCAAACGTTAACGATGAGCTTGTGTCTTGCAATCCACGTGTCTGACTTACAATGTAACAGAACAAAGAGTAATAAAACTACAACTTCTAATTTTTTGCACACTCGATTTGTTTTGAGTAACTAGAGTTGCTGTTGCTGAAAATGATACAGATCATGTAACTTGCAAAATGGAGCCTCTATTGCAACTAGTTAAGATGGATTAAATTTGTCCGGCCAAAAGTGCCTATGTCCGAGCAAAATCACGTTTGACCGGACAATGTGTCCGGCGCCTGCCCAAAAGTTATTTCAAGCCCTGCAATAGGAACAATCGGGGTATCATTTACGGAAGAAGCACTCTTTTTGTCCTTGATGAATTCTTTTGGTATAAAAAAGACACTCCTCTTTCCTCACTAAGTAATTTTTTAAGCAAGCTCTTCAAACTGAATGCCACAAAACACTCGCTGGAAGTCAAGCCCACTGCATGAAAAATTTTATTTTGGGTTGGTAAACACATTACAACTGGGCTGACAAATGTTGTCACCCTTTTATCAAAATCCGTTGAATTTGTGGACGACGCGGGATTTCTTTATTTATTAGGCTAAAACATTTTTGCATAATCATAAACTTCGAGGAGGGCTTTCCTGAAAAGTCAGTAGATTGACGCATAAGTCGTGGTTTATATTACTTTGTGGGGCAACACCTATTTGGGTCTGAAATTCGGGCGGAGTAACATGTTTACCATGTTAGATTTTTTAAAAAAACAGCGTCCCTTTTAAAAGTAAAAAGAAAATGAGAAATCTGCAGAAAAATATATTCAAAGACAAACAGAAACATTAATAAGGTTTTGCTGACATGTCTAGGAAGGGATCATTAAATGACTCATCGTTTTTCTCAAGAAGGGAAGGTTACAAGGTTTAGACAAAATATTTACAAGCTGTAAACATCTTACGTGTAATGCCTTCCGAAAGAGGATTTTGCTGTATGCAGACACAACATACACAAATACCACACCAAAATATTTGCTCTTGAATATTGGTTGTTGAAACTGTGCATTGTAGTCAAGTTTTCAAGCGTTTTGAGCCGATACTTTTTTGTGTTAATATTTTGCAATAAAAAAGACTTGCATTGTCTTTTTTGGTAGATCTTTATCGAAGAAAAGAAAGTTCGCATTTAGTTTATAATTCTGATTGTTTTTCAGAGGTGTCTAATTGAAGATTGGAAACAATTTTTCCTTTACAGTATGCCTTCTAAAACAAAACCCTATCAGCATTGTCGTTTAAACTTAACGTAGGCGTTCCAATTGCTTGACAGGCAATTTTAGAAGTGTACTTTAATAAAAGTGCAGCAAAATTTCCTTACCGGAGCCTCGGTTGATAAGGTAGCGCGAATTTTAATGACTCCCGGCAGCAAAAATCACAGGAAGACAACGCTGCACCACGGCAAAGAAGGGTCAATTTTTCAGCTTGCCCAAGTGACACATAGTTTATAGTTACTGTTTGTGATTTCACTCGATGCACACCAAAACGATCTCAAACAAGTTAGAAAAATAAACTTATAAATGTTGAATTCTATTGACTTAAAACTGCCGCGGTTTGGTTTGCTGTTAGTAGGTTAAATCTACTGTAGACTATGAGAGTTGGTAAAGTAACACAATCTCGGAATAATGAATTGTCAGTCTTAGAAAGGGAAACATTTTGTGAAGAATTGCGTTTATTAATGATCCGAACAATGCCCACGCTGTGGTACAAAATGAACTCGTATTTTACGTTGCTGTAATCTATTTCCGCTACCGAATTCGAGGATTAAACATTGGATACTACACTGTATTAATGCATGTACACACTTGTGGACAACTATTGTTAAAGGACCAAACCTAAATGAATTCTTTTCTGGCTTTAATTTCTTCTTGTATAAACTGATCTTCCCAAGAGGTGAATTGCGCAAACTATGTCTCTAACCTAATCAGATGCAGTGATTTGAACTTGCAGAAGCTCCTAGCAATGAAATAGTCGCCTGATCTTTTCGGACGCCATGTTGGAATTTTTAACGCCATAACAAAATAAGGTGGAAATTTGACTAGAGCTCCCTGTGTTAGCTCCAAACATTTATTCCTGAAAACGAGAGTTAAAAGAGTAAATTAAGGCTAATCTACTCCTTTTCTGTTTTATGACTGTGTACTTTCTAACATCAAGAGAAATCAGTTGAAATCTAAACATTCGAGGTGATTGCTCCATTAAGATATTGAGGAAAAGATTTGGCAAGAGTCTCCCGTGTAATGCTGTGTGTCGAGTTTTTAATATGTAACTATATATGCATGAATACATACATGTTTTATTAAAATTACTCTTTTTACCGTGTCTTTTTAAAACCTTCAGGACTGTACTACTTTAGAATCATTCAGAGCAATGATTAAAATATGCAGATATTGAAACAAAAATGCCATGGTATCTTAGGATGTAAAAAGAATTCTTCTCAATCGTTTAATGGAACGGAAATCTCGTGCTTTTGAGAAAACGGGATGTCTAAGTTGAACAAATTACCCTCAGATTATTCACAGAGTGATAGCATGAACAACATTTGAGTGGAATTGCAAATATTGGGCCATAGAATACTCAAAGGGCAAACATTACAGGCACCATTCCAAAATATTGGCGCTCACGTAAGCCTAAAACATCGAGAATACATTTAAACCTTAGGGAGGCACACGGCACTTATCTGTCAGTTAAAACTCTTTTGCATGGTTTCATTAGTGTCTTTGGTCTACTAAGCAGTGAACAGAGCAAGAAAAGTTTATATTCATTTTCTGGTCATCGCTCCAAAGCGAGAACGCAAATAAGTCTAAAATAAATCCACCTTTCGCCTGCACCGATCTAAGACAGTTATCAAACTAGAAATATCCGAAAAACAAAGACATTTTGGCTGCACTGAAGAGGATTTCTTTAGTGTGCAAACGACGCAATACGAGAAATTCAGCCCTGCCTGGCTTAGTTGCTCATGAAATAAGCGGCTGCTCGCAATGAATGTTTATCTCGTACTAATATTTTGCTACTTGGTTGGTCTAAAGTAGGATAGTAAATTCTTTTCCTGTACTACGCACTCGCTGAGTGCATTTTACACAAATTGGACGAAG